TTTTTTTTTTTTTTTTTTTTGAGATGCAACTTCATCTTTTCTTCTTTGACAATGATCTTGAATCAAATTAGTATTTCTTCAAACTTCAATAATTTATGCCATTTGCCAATGTTCGATTCCATCTTGAACTTTCATCAATATCCCAACTTCAAACCTTGAAGGCTCAAGAGATTAACAAGTGTCCTTCAATGTCCTTCAGTGTCATCTTGCATTGTCATTAATCTTTTCCATCTTTGATGATGCTTTAAATTTCATGAATATGTTTGATTCACCCTAACTATCATTAGGAATTCAATGCATTTGCTTGTCATTTTTTTCAAGTGTCAAATCTTACACGCAAAAACGATGATTTTGAACCTTTCAAAGATGTTGAAATCAATGTCAAATTCAATGATGTTTAAAACAATCATGGGAAAGATTAATGAGAAATCTTGTGAAGCACAATGAATGACTAAATAATGTGATTTAACTTCCATGAGTAACAATTGCCAATTTGACCCAGAATACAATTAAGATGCCTTTTTCATACATTTTTTTTGTCTCTCTTTTCTTTTTCTTTTTCAAAAGCAACTCATAAAACACAAATTTCTTTTCTCACTCTTCGCCCTTGAATCTTCCTCCTTTTTTTTTTTCAAAAAGAAATTGATCCTATTTTCACAAATGAGCAAATTCCTCAAGAATAGCTTTGTAAGAATTTCAAATAGAGAAAGTGCCAATGAGAATTACTTCTAGAATTAGGAACCAAGTAGAATATTAAGTTTTTCAAAATTTGAGATTTTGACTGGAGCAATGAAATTTTCCTTCCCATGAAATCTCAACTTGTTTGCCACATTTATTTCTATTCATCTTCCTTCCTTCTTTCTTCTTCTTCTCATTCTTCTTCTTTTTTTTTTTTGAGAAATATCACACTAAGATTCAACAGCGTTTAGATTATCTTATAAGGGCTTTGAATAAGCTTGTATCATGGTCTAGGGCTTGGTTAATTAGAAAGAAAGGACATATAAGCTCAATGATAAAATCCCTTTGCCCCCCCTAATTTCACTCTTCACACCCCAATTTCTTGATGCAGGTACATTCAAAGAAATAATCATCCTGGCTTTTCTATTATGATGATTGCCTTTTCTTTTCGCTCAAAGTGGGTAACTAAGGTCAACTTTAGTGTTTGGGAAATAGAAACAAGGCCTTTCAACAATGCCTTTTGTCATTAAACCTAAAAGCTCTTTAATCTGAGTATGATTTGCTATCCCTAGTTTGGTGATTGCTATCATCAAAATGTCTACAAATATCCAACCCTCAAAAAGGACTTTTATGGATTGTTATAAGGCTTAGGTATGGCTACTAAAAGAATAGTCAATATAAGCTCAAAGTACCCAATTTGCCCCCCAATTGCATGCCATGTCTTAGAGAAAACTTTCTTCTCCTTTATTGGCTCCTTTATCCTCATTTTCTTCTTCTTCTCCCTTTTTTTTTCTTGAGCTTCCACTTTTTCTTTTTTTTTGAGCTTCTTTCTTCCTTTCAAAATAATTTTCACCAAATCTTCCAATGAAAGTAACATTTACCCCAGTTTGGCATGCAACAATATTCCCAGGTTGTTGAATTGGTCATGAAAGAATGTTCATTGAAATTAAGCTCAAAGTCTTTAACTAAAGGTAATCTTTCAAGGTTTAGGGAATAGAGTTTCAAAAGGAAGTGGCCTTCTATCCTTGGATCTTCTACCATAGGCATCAAAATGATAACAATCACCTAACAAAGATAGCAAAATTTCCACCATTTCCCCCCCTTTTTTTTTTCTTTTTTTGGTTTTGTGCAATTTGTGTCAATTCTTAAAGATGAATCCTTGGCAAAGGTTTCAAATGGTAAGGATAAGAATTCTCAAGCTTTCTATCATAGGAATGTTTGTTTCAAATTTTGAGATCAATTTCTCTTTGTACATTTCTCTCATTCCTACTCATCCATTATTTCTTCATCAGTCACTTCCCTCATTTTTCAAACTTTCCTCTTTCCTTAAGTCTCAAGTTTCTCTATGAGGTTCGAAATTGAATTCAAGTTCATTAACAATGCAACTCATGGAAGTATAAAATCAAGAATTGAATAACTATGAATTAAAACATGAAGAACAAAGATTCAAATTGCAATATGAAAGGAGTTTGGAAAATGCAAATGAAAACTAACATGATGGACTCCATTGTTCACTTATTAATGCCCTCATCAGTAGCAGTTCTAAGATCAACCTTGTTTGAGTAAAACTGTAAGCGTTGGCCCCTTCAATATTAAAGGCTATCTAGGAGTTGATGAAACTTGATTGGTGAGAGTAACTGCAGCCACCTCTTGACCTTCCTCAAAATCCTTCTCGATCATATTGATTGTTGAACCATTGTGTGTTGGTAGGGGGTTTTTAGTGATATTTGGACCAACAACTTCAGGTTCTGATGCAATCTGTAACTCTTTTGCCTCTATCAAATCTTGAACATGATGCCTTAAAGCCAGACAATTTTCAAGGTCATGCCCAACACCTCCACTGTGATATTCACATCTTGCCTGTTAGTTGTACCATGCTAGAAATTTTGGTTTTACTGGCACTATAGGTATAGGAGTAACAATTCCAACTATTACTAATTGTCAAAACACTTCAGTATATGACAGAGGAAGCTTGTCAAAATGTCATCTCACTTGTTGTGAACAATTGACCCTAGAGGCGTAAACGGGCCTTGGTTGGCTTGTAAAAGTCGTTGATTGATAAGTTGGAGCTTGGAACCAATTGTTGAACTACCCATGTGATTGTTTATTTCTTTCATATGCCTCATAAACTGAGCTTATAGTACCATTCTCCTCTTCCTTCTTTCAATTATGGCCAACCTTTTTTAAACTATAAGCCCCCTGAACTATCATTTTGGTATTGTTCAAGGAGACTCTTCATTGCTTGATAATCCATGATAATTCCAGACTTGATTCCATCCTCCACTTGTTCTCCCACAACAACCAACTGGGCAAAAGTGTAATTCACACAAGTTATTAACTTCTCATGATAAGGCCCTTTGGTTGACTTGATGAATAAATTACTTAATTCATGATCAGTCAGTGGAGGTTGAACTCAAGCAGCCAATCCACGCCATCTCTGACCAAATTCCTTAAAGTTCTCACTTGGTTTCTTTTCCACTTTTTGAAGATCCTCTCTACTAAGAGCTAATGATGTGTTGTATTCATATTGCTTCATAAAGTTATGAATTAAATCATGCCAACTCTTAACTTTACTCTTGTCTAAAGTTGAGAACCAGGTATCTACAGGATCCATCAGACTGTCCTAAAAATAATGTATCATTAGCTTTTCATCATTGGCATAAGGAGCCATCTTTTTACAGTACATTGTCAAGTGGGCATAAAGACAACCAATGCCATTGTACTTATCAAACTCAGACAATTTAAACTTGTGGGGCAGTTGAATGTTTGGGAAAAAGCATAAAGATGAGATGTCAACCGATTTATTGGTTTGGACACCTTGCATCAATTTTAGTGTTTCCTCCATCAACCACACCTTTGCTTTAATTGCCTTGTCTTCATCCTCTGTGATTGACTTGACAACTTGAGTCTCTACTTGATCATTAGACTGAACTGTAGCAACACCAACATTTAGAACAAATGGTTTTGTCCCAGAAGCTCCAACAATAGTCAGATTTGGTGGTGAAGACGACATTGGCTCTTTTCCAAGAGTTGAAGCAGATGTGGCCATAGGGAGATTTGCCACAGAAACATTTCCTTCATAATTCTCCAGTTGTAGAAACTGGAGCTGCAGGGGGGAGTTGCCGGCGGGAATTTGTAAGGAAAATTCTGCAGGGGACTCACGGTTTAACCCAAAATTAAAGGAGCCCAACTTAAATCAAAGCTAAAAGGATGAAATCATGGCTATTTCTTACCTAAAAATCAAAGCAATTCGCCCCCACAAAGCAAGAGCAGCCGGTGGTGAGGAGCAGAGCAAGGCAGATCGGGATATTCCAGCAGAGGGAGAAGGTTTCTAAGCTCCAAATCTGGTTTTTGGACAAGAAAAGAAAGGCAAAAGCCAAGCCTCTTACCGGTTTTCTCAAGAGGAGGGCTGTCGGTGGCTGGGTTCTTTTTGTTCGGCTGCAGGTGGGGTCCGGAAGAGCAGAACACGCGGGCTGGAAGAAAAGAAAGAAGGAAAAAGAAAAAGAAAAGAAGTCATCCTTATCCAAATTCTTTTCCCTTTTTAAGTCCCTCAACTTAGCAAATTTTGCTATTAAGCCCCAACATAATATTTTTCCACAATTCAGTCCCTAACTC